ATAATATAAGTATACATTCAAGCGAAATAAGATTGATATTTTACAAAAAAATATGGCGTCACATCGTTCCTACGACGTTAAAGAAAATTGACGATTTCATTTCGGAAAAAGCATCATAATACACTAGTTGAAAACTACCGATCTTATTAATTGGTTGATTTTGGGTTGACATATACCTCACATAACGCCTACCATGTTAAAATTCTGAAAAACGAAAATTCTGTTGGCACTTAAAGTGTAATATAATTGTAGGCAGTTAGAGATTAAAGAAATGACACTGATCAGCACTGAAGGCGTTCTAGTTTATGATTTCGACGAGTTTCATTTTTTTTCATATAACTTTATACGTTGGATGGCTTTTTTTTTGTGAGGGAAAAATCATCAAATGACTTCTCCCGCCCAGGGCCGGGCAGGAGGGAGTGTCAGACTCTTACTGACTAAAAACCCCCCTGTTCCTTCTCCTGCTCTGTGCCGAGGTCGCGGTGCCTCATTGCGCTTACCCCGCAATCCCGGCTGAACATCAGCCCTTTAGGGCCCCATCTGTGGTGGTCTAATGGCTCTTTGAGGCGCGCGCGGAACGCTACGCGCCGTACGCTCGGGCCTGGTTCTGGTCGGGCGGCGAGCTGCCCTTACTCGCCGACCGCAGGCCCGTGCTTACGGTGGCCGGAGATCGTCCCTTGATCCCCGACGCCCGTAGTGTCGCCAGTTGCGGCTGCTGGGGCGTGAGGAGGAGGATTGCTCCCTCACGCGGGCCGCCTCTCTCTTTGCGAGCATGACTGCTTCACAAAAGGAGGAGACGGCGTCCCAGTTCCTCTCACTCCGCACCATGGCCTCGACTAAGGCCGGGCGCGAGAGGTCGCCGCCGCCGATCACTTCCCTGAGGATACGGCGGTGCTCAGCCCAGGCAGGGCATACCGCTACCGTATGCTCCACCGTATCCTCTAGGTGGTCCTCACAATGACGACACTCGGGCGTTTCCTCCCGCTGGATCCGAAACAGATACGTTGGATGGCTGGCCTCTTTGTTTTGTAAGGGGAAAATTTTTAAATGTTATGTTTCGCCCAAGTTTGGGCAGGAGGCAGTGTGAGACTCTTACTGACTAAAGACCCCCGTTCCTACTCCTGCTTGATGGCTGGCCTGAAAAATAAATTTGAAGTCAGTCACGTCAACGCAAAGTAAACAATACAATCAAAAAGCAAAGTTCCACTGTCAATGCATGTCTTTCTACTTTCAAAAAGTTTTAATTATAAGATATCATTTTAAATTTCAAAATCTTCTAAAAGCAGATCAAAGCTCATAAATAAATAAATAGTTAGATAGAATCGTTTAACGTTTGAAATGAGATTGAAGTTCGCTGAATTGTTTGATCTGAGGACGGACGGGGACAATCGCCTTGGCACCTCACTTCACCTCACTTATTTGCAATAATCCCTTTACCTTTGACATAAACCGATTGAGAAATCGATAATCGAGATTTTATAAAGCAAATGGATTCGAAATAAAATACTGCAAAATTTTAATTTGATTAATGTTTAAGTGTCTTTTTTTTATGAGGGGAAAATCATCAAATGACTTCTCCCGCCCAGGGCCAGGCGGGAGGGAGTGTCAGACTCTTACTGACTAAAAACCCCTCTGTTCCTTCTCCTGCTCTGGGCCGAGGTCGCGGTTCCTCATTGCGCTTACCTCGCAACCCCGGCTGAACATCAGCCCTATGGGGCCCCGTCTGTGGTGGTCTATTGGCTCTGGAAGAGCCATGCTTCGGCACGACTGGGATGTTTCGATCGGAGTGATACCATTATATCACGATTTTGACGGGACGAGAGTATCGTACAACACAATTTCTTTTCGATTAAAGGAAAATATGCTTCTGCGAGTGATTTTGAACGTGATGGCTTAAAAAGAGCAAACAGATTTCCACGTAACCGTGAGGTTTCCAATTCCGAACAAAATCCTTCGAAATCAAAACGAAAACGTAAACGTCAAAACTCGTGTTTACTAGTCAACCCACCTGACCTTACTCAAAACCAAGCTCGTGGAAGGCAGCTCCAGTTTGAAAAGCATTTGTTTGGGTGCAAACAAAACGTGGCTTTGTGAACAGTCCTATTCACTTTTAAACATTTGTAGAGGCTTTGAAACCATGTTTCGGGACTGTATTAGAACATTCGAACGAACCTTTTGTCTCATATGGCTGTACTGTCCATTCATTTGATTGATGCTTGCTTCCGATGTTTCCATAGATTTGCGGTCATCCAAAATGGCTAAACTTCGTTTTCGTTTTTCTAATGACGCCTCATATGAGAACAAGACAGTGGTTATACATTAGATATTAAATTCTTTAATTAGCACTTGTAATATATTTATTTTTGTCTTGGAAATACTGTTCTGTTAACTGCTGCTATTTCTGAAACTCGATCTAGTAATGAACAAATTAGGTATGGGAATAATACACAGCTACACTTGACCAATTGAAAGGATGAATGAAAGAACTATTTCTTTTAGACTTGACAATTTTAATGCTAAGTCATCAATTGGTTTCATGTCAATGCCAATCTTGATTGTCGAGTCTATAACAAAAAAAAATCCCTTAGTCGTGGATGTATTAACATTACATATACACTCAGAAAGAACATATTTTTTGTTTTAGTTGTTACTAGAATCAAATCCGCACAGCAGTCAGTTGTTCAACCACTAAATGTGACGTCACATCGGAAACATCGAGTAATTTTTATCATAACAAGTTTAGGTAAAGAACTATACGACTAAAACCAATGATATGTATTATAAGTAAAATTGTATAGATAGGTTACATAAACAACATTCGGTTTTCAAAAACGGCACACTTATGACACATGAATAAATCGTATGATACATTCGACAATATATCGTATGGTATATTTAAGTGTGGGAGAGCCATGCTTCGGCACGAATGGGTCGGCTCGACCGGAGTTATACCACGGCCTCACAGAAGACCGGCGTGAAACAACCACAGCGTTGTGTTTCGCCGTGTGAGTGAGGTTACCGAAGGCCCAATCCTTCCTCGTCCCCAATCCCTCCTCAATCCCTAAATCTCCAAATCCCCAATCCATAAAAGGTCGGCAACGCACTCGTAACTCCTCCGTTGCGGGTGTCCATGGGCGGCGCTGATTGCTTACCATCAGGTAATCCGTCTGCTCGTTTGCCGATCAATTACATAAAAACCACGTTAAAGTGGGATGGCATGATTCAATAATCGCGAGTGAAAAAGAGACAAATATGAAAAAGTGTGGCTAGTTAGCCACATTTTTTGTTGTACCACTTGCTGAGCGCTTGTAACCTACATATCTAAACCTTTTTACTTACAATATCATTGGCTAAAACCGAATGTAACAAGACCTAGTTCACTATATACCTACGGAGACACCATACATCTACCTCGAACCCTCATCGGAAATGAAGCTTAGATAACAGAAGGCATTCCCGCACAGTCACACCCAATAAATTAAATACCCCTTTCGTACACTATCGCCCGGAATGAAGGCAGAAACCATTAATCTGAACTCAGTAAATACAAATCTGATGTACTTAATTAACGTGCTTTCTATCCAATATGTGTCATTATCCTTTGTAATTAATCATGGCATTGGAAAATGTGTTTTTAGTTTGATAATAATAGGGTTTATTGTTTATTTATTTATAAATACTTTGTTTTAATATTATCACAAAATCTACTAAGCACATGCTTATATATACACTATAAAGTTTTCACACTTTGGTGTAAATACGTGTAGTGTAGTGTATTCGTTTCCAATTTCAGACTAAGTGATATTTTCTAAATAAGTCTTTACATTATAATGCAATACTTTACTTTTAATTCAACCACATTCTAAACTTTTAAATGAACAAAGTGTTTTTTTATATTTTTTGAACTATGGGCCCCCGGCGTGACTTGAAAACAGTCGAGCAAATTCGTCAAAAAATTACACGGTTTTATGAATTTATAACTAAACGCTGACGTTCTCACCATTGAATGGTATGGTGGTAAAATAGTTTAATGTTTGTTCTCTGACCCTAAAAATACATGTACTATCGAGATCTTTAATGTACATGTTTATTGTACCTATATAGGTACTTGTTGTATCCTATTCTATACAAAAAACACAGCTATTATTCTTCAAAGAGCATCATAAAAAGTCTGTCTTCAGAGAAAAGTGACGACCTACCTTATTCATGCTACTTATGTATAAAACTGTGATGGTAGGTCTCATTCAGTGGTTTCTAAAATAATGTCGACTTCAAAACTTAACTATGTCGACATATCCAATGAATTAACATTAAAAAATAACCACTGTTTTATTCATAATTTTTATGAAAACCGTTTGGTGCAAAATATCTGTCGCACACTCACACATACGTAATCTTCACGTACTAAGTTCATTATTTACTTAGAAAAATCTATTAAATTTTACTAGGTAATTATTAAATAGATACCCAATTAATAAAACGTTACTACCGACAATTGGTTGCTTGAAATAAGTCATAAGGACAGGAGAAAAAAAAATTTCTTTCATACAAATCTCGTCTTTGACTTCAATTAAAAAAAAGAAAAAAGTATTTACTGGTTTTGTACGCATACGTACAACAATTATTTTTAAAGACAAAAGTACGCATACAATAAACTGGCAATTTAAAAAGAATAAAATAATAAAAAAAAAACATTTTTAAAATATTCTATAACCCATTCCAATTTTCAAATTCTCTCACCAAAATTCGAATTAAGAGATCTAACATTCTCAAAGGTTCGAAGCACAAGCGCTCTATTCACGTCTCTACTATTGATTCCTCAGCTCAAATATAAAATACATTAGAGTTCGACTTTGATCGAGCTGTGTGCTTTGAGCTCACACTAAAACCGTAAACATTGAAACGTTTAACGAAACTAAATAAATCGTCATTTTAAATTACTGTCTTAACTTACAGACATTATGGGGCTATTTTATTAAACTTGATGTATTTTGTTCAATATGATCAATTTTCCGGGTTACTCGTACTCTATTGAGAACGTAAGTTTTTCCGTGAAAGAAAACCGGATTAATAATTTATTATATACCGCGGCTTTCGGCCTGGAGCAGGACAGTCAGGAGTCTGACACTCTTTCCCGCGCGGCCCTGTGCGGGAAAAGTCATTGATGATATTCTCCTCACGGAAAAAAACGGGGAGGTTTTGAGTCTACTTTTCTGTAACTTCTCGCCCTGAGTGGACCGTTTTCAAGACAACAAGACATTGAATAATTTCACACCCTTAAAAAACGTGAATTTCTCGGAAATAGCGATGTGAGTAAGTCGTTCAATCTATACTAACATTATAAAGAGGTAAAACTTGAAAGTTTGTATGTAGGGGGTAATCTTTGGAACCAGTAGTCGGATTCCCAAAATTCTTTCCCGTTTGAAAGTTACATTGTTTCCCAGTGCTGTAGGCTATAAAACATCACGATACAATGAAATGGAGCCGATGAGCGAGTGAAACGCGCGGGAGTATTATAATATTAAAAAATATTATTAAGAATATAAGAAGCTAAAACCTGGTGTACGGTAATTAGGCCTCTACCTAACCCCTTAGGGAAAACAAACATTATATTACGTAAAGGTAAACAATGTCAAAACCACAAATAAAAGAACAAAAGGCCGTCCCGGTTGTTACAAAAATATACTCATTTTAAAATTCATTCGTAGGAATGAATACGTAACGATATTGGTCAACCGTTTGCGCGATTTTTATTCGTAACACATTTTTAATAAAGTTTATTTTCAATCAAGAGGCAGGCTTCGAAAATGTTACATAATATAAGGTAAGTTTCTACTTTTATATGTACAAGTTATATATGGTTCTATGGTAAATGTCGTGGTGGCCAAGAGGTTAAGGAGCCGCTTCTCATGCATGAGGTTGTGGGTTCGAAATCTGGTAAGTACGAATGTGACTTTTTCCGAGTTATATGTACTTTCTATGATTATTTAGACACCACTGACAAACCTGGACTTATATCAGCAGTGGGCCCTTATAGGCTGAAGATGATATATGGTTCTATGTTATCGATCTTAATGACTAGTTGAAGGTAGGTGTGTAAATAGCCAGAAGCTAAGTTGAATTATTGATATACTTTCATTGATAGGTACTTATATTTTCCCGTCACGTTTTTAATACAGCATGTTTTAAGTTACACGATTTCATTTTGAAAAGAAATGTGGAAACGAAACGATTTAAAAAAGAAAATTAACTACGCTTATATTCTGCCAATAAAATCAATTGTGGGTTTTTAATTAGTATCATTGGTCACCTGGTGACAAACTGTAACATCTAAGATAACTCTGAAATAATTTATATGTGTTTTATATTTCTAAATCATAAAAGCTCCCACTTCTGCTCCAAGGCCTCTTTTCATACAGAAAAGGTTTGAACGTGAATCGTAACGTTCGCTCAATCCGGATTGGCGATATTAAACTTAGTGGAAGTTATAAATCCAGGTTTTCTCACGGTATTTTCTTTCACCGTATGCCCATGGTGTCTAAATAATCTAAGAAAGAACATAAACTCCAAAAAACTCACATCGGTACTTATCAGGTTTCGAACATGCACCCTCGTCAACCACTTTGTTTTTTATATTTTTTTATTGTGATAGGTGGCCAAACTGGCAGACGCATTACGTGATGGTAAGCAAACAGCGCCGCCCATGGACACCCGCAACAACAGAGAAGTTACGAGTGCATTGCCGACCTTTTGGGGGTTAGGGATTTGGGAGATTTGGGAAGGGGAAGGATTCGGCCTCCGGTAACCTCATTCACATGGGGAAATACAACGCTGTGGTTGTTTCACGCCGGTTTTCTGTTGGGCCGTGGTATCACTCCGGTCGCGCTGACCCATTTGTGCCGAAGCATGGCTCTCCCACACTTAATTTCTCTTAATGAGGGCACTACCTAATTATCACCTTCTGTTTCTCTTCCCCTAAGTTAACAATACTTCAGAATGATTGATCTTTTCACTGCAAAACCTCTTCCTTTGGGCCAAAAAAGTATCCGCCATTAGTGAACCCAAAAACATATGATTAATTATTAGTACCTGTTAAGACTAATTATCTTAAACAGATGGTCTTAAGATAATTTAGTGAAATCAGACTTTCTGATGTGTATTTTTACTATATGGTTTATATTATTGACTGGTTCTGATTGTAGAAACATTAGAAAACACATAGGCTTAAATGCTAAATTTCAAAATTTAAAACAATCTAATTACGTTTCCACCTTGATTAGGATTTCTCTGTGTATTTATAAAGATACAAATTCATATAGTTGTACACTCAGAACCGGAACCACAATTTGTAAATCACACAAAGGGTCATGAGGGAATCGAACTCTTTGAAAAAAATTGTAGCAGACATTTAAACAATTATTTTTAAATACTTATAGTATTTAAAAATAATTATTATAATATCGATCCTGAAGACGCATACCATAATTTAGTTTGAGGGTTGCAAAAATTTATTCTCGACTAATTGTTTTTCAAAATGACGGAAGCCATATAAACAGTCTTAAACACAAAATAGTAAAACTTATTATAAAGAACACTGGCAAACTAATAAACCCGAAACACAACAAACATTACAATAATGCCATACAAGCATCAACATCAACAAACTAACTCAAAGGAAAACAGGAAAAAACACAAAATATGAAGAAAATAGTAAACGAAATAAATATCTTTGTACCATTTGACACGCTTAAGGAATTCAGTCGCGTCTTACATGAAGCAAGAAAACGTTAAGGAAACAAGGGGGAAAATGCGATATCAAATGTACAGAAATCTTATTATATATTCCCAAATCTTATTTGTATTAACAAGATTATTTGTTATGGAACTCTGAATGACACTAAGCATCTCATCAGCTTCAAGGCTGACTGTAATACGAATGATATTAGGGTTAAATAACATTACAGTGATAATATTCATCGGGGGATGGATTAAGTTGGTGTTTTTATGTGTAATCTAAGAGTATTTCCGCTTTGTTTACTAAGAATTACCACAGATTATTATTTGAGAGGTTGGTCATACGGATGAAGAAAATGTCACAGGTAATAAAAGTCGCGGCCCGGGTTGTGGGTCAAGCGCAAAGAGTAACTGTCCGGCTCGGAACTCAAAATGCAACACCATAGTGACCCACCACCATTTTTAGTCAGTAAAGTCTCGTCTCAGTAAAGTCTTTCTGCTCGCGCCTCACACAGGGCAGGAGTAGCCATTGGATGACCTCAAAAAAACAGGAATAAGATGACATTCATATACATATAGGTAGATAAAAAAACAGATCAAATTGCTAAACTGCAGAAAAGTACAATAGTAATAAGCATGTTCTCAAGAGCTAAGACTGAAAACGCTTTATAAAACGCCCCCATGTCTAACGACAAGTTTTTAAACTATTCGAAGAAAGCTCTCGATGCAAGTTCGTTTCAACATTCGTCCGTGGCAAAAATGGTGTTTAAAACGTGCAATTGTAAGCTCGGAACTATTTAAATGGCTGGGAAATGTGAGAGGAATTTCGATTCGCGTTTCGTGGGAACAGCGGATATTAGAGGGTGGTGGGTCAAACAATTTCTGCTTTAGTCTAGTCTCGCTTTAAACCCATCGATGTCGTTGACACAGAATTTTCAGTGACTGTTAGTTACTTCAAATCGTACAGCGACATTTTAGTTGAGTTTCATTGGTGTTCCGATGTATCTGGTTGATTCTGTTGTCAATTTCTTGCTTTATATTTACTTGTATTATACTTTTCTGTAAGCTTTTTGCTTTTTTGGTGAGGGATAAATCAACAAACAACTTCTCTTGCCCAAAGTGAGGTGAAAGGGAGTGTCAGACTTTTACTGACAAAAAATCCTCCTATTCCTGCTCTTGCTCTAGACCGAAGCCAATTGGTACCTTATTGCGCTTGCCACGCGCCTTGCGCGCTCGGGTCTGCTGCTGGTCGGGTGGCGAGCTACCCTCGTTCGCCGTCCGCAGACATACGTACTTTTTCGTAAGATGTGACTAGAATTATGTTTGGGAGATTTTCTCTCATAATTTTATAAGTATCTACAATACCACACATATCATAAAATTTGGAAGTTACCATCAAAACAATTCAAATGAAATACCGTAAAACGATTAAAAGCCACGAAAACTAAGCCACGAGCTTGCTAATGTAGTTTTTCAAAGAGATAAGGCATTCAATAAAAGTAAATCAGAGTGTGGACCGTGTTAAACTTTGTAGAGGACGACAAGCTAAAGCATTGCATTAAGTTAGAAGGAGAGATACGTCTAGCGATTACAAAACTTTCCTGGAACGCTGCCCGTGGCCATGTGATACCGTAGGACTAAGAAAGACATTGCTTTTAGTTCAACGTTGTGCCTGAACACCACAAAACTATCAACGTAAAATCAAAGTGATTAAAAAAGCTGAAAGGTCGAACATTTAGCATTTGTTTGTAATTTGCTGTTTCATTCCTTCGGCATTTGAAAAATGGCCTAAAAGTATCCTAAAAATTCTATATGTACTCGCCCTTTTTGGGGACAGAAAATCATCAAATCTCTAAGATTCATATTCTGACTGCACAGTCGGATCACCTAACTAAAGCATGTGATCCCATTATAAAAGAAATTACTGGTATTAGGTTTGAATATTTTGTATTAAACGTAATGGAAGTATTACCTACAAGAATGTGAAGGAGTACAGCATAGCTATTATCTATACTAATATTATAAAGAGGTAAAATTTGTAAGTTTGTATGTAGGGGGTAATCTTTGGAACCGCTGGTCGGATTGCCAAAATTCTTTCACTGATAGATAGCTACAATGTTCCTGAGCGTTATAGGTTATATAGTATTACGCTATGATTAAATGGAGCCGCGGGTGAAACCGCGTGAGAGTAGCTAGTTATACATATAATTAAGCAAGAAACTTCTTAACAACATCGACTATCATGCATGTAGCAAATAAACAAACAACGTTTTAATATAAACACAGTGAAATAGAGGAATACTTA